ATTGAAAATGCATAATACATTATATATAAAACAGGAAACAAAACATATGCACATTTAATGTACTTATAATATATGATCTTCGTACATTGTAGCATTCTTGATTTGACCTCCTAATCCCGGTAGATTTATTGTTGGACGTGAGTGCGGCTTTAAAGAAAGCTTTACATTGTCTACTGCTAAATGGTAATTAAAACATTCAGATTTAAAATGCATTGAACATATCGTATGCCACGCCTTCACTTGTTTGGTGTTTTTTATATCTTTTCTTTTACAGGCATCTAGCCACTTTGCCGCAATAAATCATTGTTATAAAAGAAAAGCACTCCACTTTCACTTGTAAATATCAAACTTCTACTGTTTGATGTAACCAAGTGGGCGGAGCTTAATAAGCGATGTCATCGCTAGCCAATCAGCGACGTTGGATTGAATCCAGCGGTCGCAAGCGTCACAAGAAAGATATTAATATTTATTTTATATATTTAATCTGTGGCTCCAATTAAAATAAAACAAAAAATCTCCATTCCATACATTTATTGTAGAACTTTTAATACCATCATAAGCCTTCAAAAATACGTAAATAAAAATTTCAATTTTATTTTCATTAGCGTAGAGCCTATGGGAGTGAGGCTACCTGGTATCTACCTACCTTGATCCGAAAGGCCTGTTGGGATCAACAAAGGCCTCATGATCTCTCCGAGTCCCACTGAATCACTCACGTCATGCCTTCTTCATCAGTGCATACGCCCCAACACTGGATGCAGAGAATGACATCAAGGAGGCCTTTTACGCCAACCTTGAAAGAGTACTAACCTCTATCCCCAGAGAAGATAAGGTTGTGCTCCTTGGTGACTTCAATGCCAGAGTTGGTAGACATACTGACATTTGGCAGGGAATCATAGGGAGGAATGGACTTGGCAAATGTAATCCCAACAGCCTACTCATCATCAGCAAGTGTGCTGCACACTACCTCACTATCACCAATACCTTGTTTAGGCAGGCTGACTAGTTCAAGGGTTTGTGGCAACACCCACGATCCAAACACCGGCATCTCATTGACTACATCATTGCCAGAGAAAGAGATCGTCAAGATGTCCTCATCATCCGAGCAATGCGTGGCTCAGACCACTACGACACTGATCATCGGCTCGTCAGAGCCAAGCTCTCACTTCACGTCGCCCCAAAAAGGTGAAAGCAACAAGCCTTCAGAAGAGGTTTTAATACTCAGCTTCTGGAGGATCCAGCAGTAGCACATGATTTCAGAGAGCAGCTCGAACATGGGCTGATAAACAACCCAAATCCCAGTGCCGAATGGAGTATTCTCGACACTGTCATGACAAATACCTAAAGAGAGACCCTCGGCCAGGTCGAAAGAGTACACCAGGACTGGTTTGATGAAAATGACCTGGAAATCAATGTATTCGTCGATGATAAACGTACTGCTTTTACTGACTGGCAGAACAACCCTCAGTCTAGGACCAAAGCTGATACCTTCCGCAAGAAGAAAGTGGTGGCCCAGCGCGAACTTCGGAAACTAAAGAACGACTGGTTTAAAAATAAAGCATATGAAATGCAAAAACTTGCAGATCAATACAAGATACGCAAATTTTTCAATTCCACTAAAACATTTTTGGGCCAATCACTCATGGCACAGCCCCCCTCCGCTCATCCGACGGTAACTCCCTAATTAAAGACGAAAAAGGCATCCATCAGCAATGGAAAGAGCACTACCATTCGTTACTCAACCGAAACACCGATGTGGATGTCCTGACTAACCAGCAGGTCCCTCAGCATCTAGAGCTGACCCACCTCAGCTATCCTCTTTCCCTGGATGAGGTAGCTACTGCCATCAAACAGATAAAAAATAACAAAGCCTTAGGGCCTGATGGAATCCCAGCCGAGGTGTATAAAGCAGGAGGACCTCTGCTTATTAGCCGTCTCCACTTTCTCTTGGAGTATATTTGGGAAAAGGAGGAAATCCCCCAAGCTCTTAAAGACGCCACCATCTTCATAAGAGCAAGAGAGACCAGTCATACTGTGGCAACTACCGCGGGATCTCGCTGCTGTCCGTACAGATTATCGCCCGAGTCCTCCTAAACAGATTACTACCTGAGGAGGAAAACTTCCTCCCAGAATCTAAATGTGGCTTTAGACATCACGTGGCACCACTGACATGATCTTTGCTGCCCGCCAGATACAGCGCGTGATCTGTACATGATCTTTATTGACCTAACCAAGGCCTTTGACTCGGTCAACAGGGAAGCCCTCTGGCGGACTCTCAACCGGTTTGGCTGCCCACCAAAATTCATCACCATTGTGAGACAACTCCACTACAGAATGAATGGCAGTGTCTTGCACAATGGCACCCAGTCTGAGTTCTTCCCCATCCAAACGGGGGCAAAACAAGGATGTGTACTGGTGCCAACTCTCTTTTCCATTTCCTAGGCTGCCTTCCTTACTCGTGCTAGTGCCAATTTAGCCAGTGGGGTGGACATAGAGTACCGGATGAAGGATCTTTTCAAAATAAGACGACTCCAGGCAGGTACAAAGATGTTGGCAGCTTCCATTACTTTATGATAATTATTTTTTGATACATTTTGTATGAAGGATTGTGTGCATGTAACACTAAATTTTGTTTAAGAAAAATATGTACAGTAAGTCCTCGTCTAACGTCGCCCCGATTAACGTTGTTTCAGTACAACGTCGCTACTCTTTAGATATCAATAATTCGTGTAACGTCCTGACTCCTCAATTTAACGTCGTTTTCGCGTCGTCACTAGCTACTTTTTACGGTGCATCACCATCTCTCGTCTTGCCGCGCTATGGACTCTCGGGAGGAGGAGGCAGCCACCTAGCCTCATTACTCCACCACCCTCTTCCTCCCACCCTCCTCCTCCTCCTCCCTTCCCCTCCTCACCTCCTCCCCCTCCTGCCATCCGCCTCCTGTGCTTCACTCCCCCACCACACACACTCTCCCACCACCTCCACCCATCGGTAGTACAAAAATACCAATACAAAATGATTTATATATATATATATATATATATATATATATATATATATATATATATATATATATATATATATATATATATATATATATATATATATATATATATATATATATATATATATATACACAGTGACCCCTCGTTTAACGAACGCCTCGGTTAATGAAATTTCGGTTAACGAACTGCCTTCCATAAGGATCTTCAATTCGGTTAATGAACTTAAACGAATTTCTTACAAAACAACCTCAACATGTTTTTGCTTGCACTGACTGGGCAACCAGCTTTAGTATCAGTCCGCCAATACATTAATCAGTTCTAGGGCTTAAATTCCTTACTATTTTAGTAAATATCAAGAAGTTTATACTATTCAATAATTTTAAAAGTTTAATATTCAATTTTTTAGTCATTTTAACAATTATTGAACATTATTGAAGGTAAAGTGACTAGTTTACTGCGTGGCATCCAGCCTCTTAACACAGCAAACAGGCGTTAGTCTCTCTCTGTTTTCACTGGAGGTAACATCTTGCTTGAGACTCTCTTAAACTAAACACTTTTTTTCTGTGTTTCCAAGCAAATTATTGGTCATTTTGAAATATATTTTACATATTGACAATATATAATGCAGTGCAGTGTTGATTTAAAGAAAATAATCTTGAATTACACCAAGAGAGCTAAAATTTTATGGGTGAAATGGCACCATGGGATGACTTCTCTTCCACCCCAATGCCTTCTCTTCTTCCTTCTCCTCCACCCCCCATTCTAAATCCCATCATCATCATCATCATCATCCAGGAACCTTCTACATACACACCTCAAAGTAAGTGAACTTTTCTACCATTTTTGTTGAATTTAGGAAATTTTCGGTGAGCTGGAACCAATTACCCATTGAAACAATGGTTTGGGTTAACGAACTTTTCGGTTAACGAGCGACCTTCTGGAACGGATTGAGTTCACCGTTAACCGGTCACTAGATAGATAGATAGATAGATAGATAGATAGATAGATGAATGGATGGGTGGATAGAGAGATAGATAGATAGATAGATACATACATAGATAGATAGATGAATGGATGGATGGATAGAGAGATAGATAGGTAGATAGATAGATACATAGATAGATATATATATATATATATATATATATATATATATATATATATATATATATATATATATATATATATATATATATATATATATATATATATATATATATATATATATATATATATATATATATATATATAGTCGGCCCTTCACATACTCGGGTTTAGCATTCACGGATTCACAAATACACAGATTGCCCCGCCGGAGGAATATTCTGTACATTGAAGTAATTAAAGTACATTCAAATCGCGCGCCATTCAAATTGCGCGCGACACCGAACACTGCACACCGCCTGCTCCCGCTACCTCACACACACACGCATAGCGCGTCGTCACCCCACCCCGCACTCCCTCACTCAGTCAGTCAGTCTCGCTGTAACCACGCTTGTGTTGACATCAGCATTGTAGTTGCAAAAATATTACATTTACGTGAATGTATTATATCAAGCACAGTATGAATAGAATATCACTAATATAACAGTATTTTAACCGAAAACTATTAAAAAAAGGAGTGGTATCAATTTAGGAAATTCATATAAGAAAATTTTTGTATCTCAAACGTTTGTATCTTGAGGGATACATGTACATGAAGCGTATAATTTCCCGTATTGAGGTAAAGGGCCAAGATCCAATGAATCTCCAAAATTTCTAAAAGATTAAATAAACTTTTTTTAATATTTATTTGAAAAAATTATTAACAGTTACAAGCGCAAACAAAGCACAACACTCAGTAATGATTTAAAAAGCACACCACGTCGATCTGTAAATTACAGGAACAGAGGATTAGTCACTGCTCATTTCTCCCAAAATGTGCAAATTTCTGAAATACACGCAAACTCTATGTCCCCAAATACACAGTATCAAACAAAAAATTTCACCACTTACCAATTTTTACTGGAAACCCTGGTGGAAGTTTCATTTGGACAAATTCCCGTAGCTTTGCAAAGTGCTTGAAGGGGGCTATTACTTCAAGAACATTTAACAGCATCTCTACAGTTAATGGAAATTCTTCACTCTGTAAAAAAAATTATTTTAAAATAAAGTTTTTGCAAGAAAGAATTGGTGACATCCTCTGACAGGGAACAACTTGTTATCAAACATACTATAAATTGTTTATTCTGTGATATAATTTTCTTAAAGTAATCCTTTTAAAACTCGAATTAAAAGATTATGATGAATTGGTTCATAAATACTGTGTCTATTAAAATTTTAAAGCTTACCATTGCTACAGTTGCTTTAAATGATTTAGAAGACTCTTTACATATGAGTGTCCGACCAAGTGGAGGAGGCTTCCCGGTTTCTGCTTCAATATAGGTCTCCCAGGATACTGGCTCGGTGCTTGGTGGTTCTAACGAAGCTCTACGTACTGACTGTAAAGATAATTAAGTACGATACAATTTTAGTGAAACGATGATAAATTTTGTGAGTAACTTAGACCGGTAAACGCAAAGTGTTGAGTGACTTAGTGGATAAAAAACAAATACTAAGGTCCTCTTATAGATTCTCAAGTCTCATACTATAAAGGGGTTGAGAAAGTTTGGTGTGAAATGGATCAAATTTAATTTCTCCTGTAAAATACAGGGCAAGGGGGGCTGAGCTCTAATATATATATATATATATATATATTTTTCAAATACAATATTAATTACAGTATATGGTAAATTTTTGCACATGTTTTCCCGTGATTCACACTGAGTGTGAGGAACAAATGTAGGATTCACTACACACATAAGATGGCAACTCCCTTTCCTTCAAAAATAAAGCATAATGGTTGTCTACAATCTACATGTGTCGCTTGTGATGCTCCCCAGTGGTTCAGTGGAGGTGTTGTGATACTTTCTCTTATAAATTTCCTTCTACTGTAAAAGCTCTTAACACAGGTAACAAATTCCGAAAACCAGTGGTTAGAAACGGAGTCTGATCAAAATTATGATCTACCGGTACTTAATATCTTAAGATGATTCAAATCATCACTGTAAGAATCAAGTTCATTTATATGACTCAATCAATCAATCAAAAGTTGCCATCCTCATATGTGAGGATTGGCGACCACAGTCATCCACTCTAAATGTTTTCGGGCCATTTTTGCAATCTTCTGAGAACCCAGTTTTTAATTTCATTCATCCATCCTAGTTCTGTCTTCCCCTGGCAAAACATTTACATAAATATGACAGCCTCATTGGCCAGATGACAAAAGACAAAGTGGACTCATTGAAACGTGATAGGGCAGAAATCTTTCTTCAAAGTTGGAAACCAGAGTTCAGAGGCAGCAACCAAAATTATTTTTTAATAGTGGAAGCAATACCTTAGAGAGGGAACCACTGCATGATAGGGAATTTGTGAAAGACTGTTTGGAGCTATTTATATCTATGCCATGTCCTGACGAGAAATCGATGATTACCTGCAGACTGCATGTTGGACATGCCTGGTAGAGAGCATCATTCCTTGCCAATGCAAACTGGCTGATACATTACAAAGACAAAATAAGCAATTTTTCCTTGTAAGTTAAACTTAAAGGACCCAATGAAATCATCAAGAATTATCTAAAAAAAAAAATATCTTTTTGTGGATATATTGCATTGTGTTGTACAGTAAAAGAATTAATGTGTTATATCAATGGGTATTTTGGAAAAATATTGAAAAAATCAATAATTTTATATGTTACAGCAATATTTGAGGAATATTAACATAACAGAGAAGTGTCTGGCCATGCTGATGATGTATTGAAGTTGATGATTTCTGGAATTTTTATATTGTTTGATACTCACCTCATCAAAAGAATGTGCTCCACCTCCCTTTGTGAAGCTTTCCACAATAGCTTTATTCTTCTGTAAATCCTCCTCGCTAAGGTGTTCTCTTCGTTTGCGAGACTCAAGAGTTAATCCATTTAAATAGTAGAAATCAGCATTAAACTTGCCAACCATTTCCTATGGAAACAATATTTTTTTTGGCATAATATAATAAACATACAGTATACATTGTGCACATACCACCTTATCTACAGATGGAATACAGGTACAGGATGTACTGTACAGGTTGGGTATTCCTTATTCGAAATGCTTGGGGCCTTAATGGTCTTGGATTTTGGAAATTTTTGGATTTTGGAATACAGTCAACCCTCACTTTATGCGGTCCCACATTCCGCGTTTCCACGTTTACGCGGTGTCCTGCCGGAACCCAGGATGCTCACATTCCGCGGTGCGTGTACCCCTTTACGCGGAGAGCAGCTGGCAAGCCGCACCATTTTTGGATCCAAACCTCCCGCCATCCGCCATGTTGTGTAAGCGGCGCGAACGCGGCGTGCACAAGGTCGCCCAGTCATCAAAACATTACCAGTTCTTCACCCGCCACCCACCACAGCCGGCCCAAGTCAGTGATAGTGATAATTATGGTGAGGATATGGACTTATATGGACTTTGGGGGGTTTGACAAAGAGGCCCTGCAAGCCTCTGTGGTGGATAGTGATACAAGTGATACAAGTGATACAGGTGAGGGCCAATAATCTGCCCTCTGCCTCGGAACCAACAGCACATCCCCGTGTGCCCAGCCATCTTTTCTACTAATGTAAGTGTTAAAAAACCTAATATTATTGATATTTCTCTCAATTATTAATTGTGTGTGCATACCATCATAAAGTTAAGATAATATTTTTACTACAACATAGTTGTGTGTCGTCAAAAAGTGGAGTTTGGGGGTCGGCCCGGTCCCTATTTCAATTAATCCCATATGTTATGTTATTCACTTTACGCGTTTCTCACTTTCCGCGGTACCCTGTGGGTTACATTAACCGCGTAAAGTGAGGGTTGACTGTACCCCATACCTATACCCTGTATACAGAACCTATATAATGCAGTAGTTCACCCATCAGGGATGGGACCCAAGTCTATACACAAAATTCATTTATATTTAATTTACAGTACTGTATATGGATGCATATATTGTGCAAGTAGTTTCACAAAATATAATTGAATCAGTTTGGCTATAAAATATATAAGATGTACATTATTGAATCAGAAAGGTAAGTAATCACTACCGCATGTTTGGCATCGCCATGACGCCTGACCCTGAGGTGCTAAGCAGCCTGTGTCTTACATTATTAATTACACATACATACTTACCCAAGTAAAAATTATGATATATGCCATATTGAGTGTATTTTCTACTACAGTATACTGTATATACCGTACACTGTATATAATGAATTAGACTTTTGGATTTCAGAGCATTCAGACTTGGGAATTTTGGATAAGGGATACCCAACCTGTATAGGGAAATATCCAATTTAATTACTGTACAGTTTACAGTACAGGTACAGTATTATTCTTTCCCATAAACAATATTTCTTTTCAATATTTTGGTTGATATATAGTACTACCGTACAGTATCTCTATATTGCACAGGATATCCCACTTTTCCCATCAAGTTCTCTTTTTTTAAAATACAGCAATTTTGATTTCTTGAGTTATGCAGTCTTTCAAAATGTCTAGCGGAAATTTACACAAGCTACTTCAAAATATTGGTGAATGAGTTTGGAAGAGTGTGTTTACAGAGAAAGTTAATAGTGAATGTGACTAAAATAAAAGTAGTGATAAGACTGCATAGAAGTAGGAGACAACACAGAAAAATTAATGTTAATTAAAATGGAGATTAAATGGATAAAGTGATGTACAGTGGTATCCCGAATTCAAGAAATGCAAATTCGCATTTTTAAATTTGCCGGTACCTATATTGCTACCTTTTTTTTTTAATTTTGTGGTCAAATACCGTACTGTACTGTATTCATAATTTGCAGCCGAACACCAGCTGCCACAGTATTTACCTTATTTACATAAGAAACCATTGAAGTCGTGGAAATTTCATTTCAATGCTCTAATTTACCCTAGAAAAGGAAAATACGGTATAAACCTATACAGTAAAGCCTCCCGATATGTATTATATAAAAAAAAAAAATACTGTAAAAAAAAGAGAAGAGCGTCTTGCGCAAAGAAGCTGCCAGGCAAGGGAAGCTGCTGGGCTAATGAGTGGTAATGCTTATCACCAGTAAAGAAGAGTTGGAGCTTGGTGGTTCCTTTGTTTTCATGCATCTGAACAGGAACAGGAGATAAACTTTCTCAGGTTTCTTAAAGAGTTTTTGAGTCCCTATTCAACAAGAGCAAGAGAGCAAGTGATGGTAGTACTGGTTCAAAAGCTAAAAGAAAGTGTATAAGCTTAGCCAAGAAACTAGATGTGTTAAAATATTAAAAAGGCGAGAGGTTTGTGGATATTATATGGAGCAAGCAATGAACATAATATTATTTTCTGAAGTGGATCCATTAACAGAACGAAGAATTAAAATTAACAGGGACGTGAAAAACACATATGACCTCTACATAAAGATGTATAATGAGAAAATAAAGCAGCTGTGAAATGTTCTTTCGACAGCTTTATTATTCTAAAGCCTAAACCACCATCTTCAGGTTCAGTAACAGTTTCAGCAACAGCTATGATATCTTTATGGAAAGCTTCAGCTTCAGCCAGAGTTGAACCTGATTGACGATATCATCTGAGCAAAAACTAGCACAATATTCATTGGCTGTACTTATGTTTTACACATTACCACCATTTGTGAGTAGAATTTTTGTTTACATTATTAAGTATTATTTAAAACATATGAACAGTAATAAGTGTTGCTTTCATATTCTTATGTACTAGAGAAATGACGATGTTTTCACATATACGCACTTACATACGATGGCGTTCCCAATCTATTTTGTATTTTTCTTTACCATTAATGGTTAACTACTTCTATTGTTCATATACATTAAATAACATTACTTAATACATACATTTTATTTTTTTACATAAATTTTACTTCAGCAATAGCCAGGGTCTTATTTCTTCAGTTTCTTTTGTAAAAGTAGAACCATCGTCCTTTGTCACTGGTGTTGTAAACATGAACGAAAACAATGCCGTCTCGTCTCCTCTTGTGTGTTTTAATATTCTACGTAATATTAATGAATTGCATTGTTCATTTCACAAATATAAACCTTAATTCAATCATATACATATTTAGTAATAAACAATAATGAATCTTTTGTACATGTTCTTAATAAGATAAATGAAGCAGTTTCCTTGAGGGTGCACATACACGTTGCCGTTCCACTATCACTCTCTTTTTTTCTGTAACATCAATGGTTACTTTTACTGTACATTAAATAACATTAATTAAAACATAATTTTTTTTTACATTAATTTACTTTAGCAATAACCAGTGTCTTATTTTCTTGTTTCAGATGGATAAATGACATTATGGGCGTAAACATGACAACAACAATAGAGTCCCATCTCCTCTTGTGTGATCTTATTATCATTGATTTATATTGTATATAAGATGCACTCATAAACATTATTTAAAGAATATAGTAGTTTGCACTTTTCATTAATTGTATTGTTTTGGGGGGAAAAGAGAGTAAAAAGCCACACAAAAGGCCACACTGGGGAATGCATCTCATTATCATTGCTTTATTCTAATGGTAATTAATGATTCATGATACGATGATTCACCTTACACTGCAGTATTGGAGGACACATTATCGTCGTTATTCGAGGCTTTACTGTATAAGAAAAATAAAAAAAATGGAATGCGAGTTGTGCATGGTAGGTAGGGCAGTTGGGCAGTAAACTGATCGTCCCCTCCCTCCCCAAGCGCACCCCTACGACCTCCTTAATACAATAATACATTACACAATTCTAACATAATACATTATACAATTTTAACATAATACATTATACAATTTTAACATAATACATTATACAATTTTAACATAATTCCCATATCATTTAGGTTCATTTGGTACTGGGTTAATAAAACATTATTGTAAAGTAATAAATCTTCCAAAAAAATAAAATCCTACACTAAACCCAAAATGAGTTATAATGTGATATTAAATTGCTGGTTCCTTGTTGACATAGTGCAGTCACAGCCAGCCCAGTGCCTCCTTGTCTGGATGTTGTTGTATTGGCATAACCCACACAGAATTATGAGAAGGGAAGGAGCTGTTTATGTAATATAGAACTACTTTTTGCACAATATCTATGTGTTACTGAACTATTTATGTATTCTATATGATGTTTAATGTTTATTAAAACAGTTTTAGAATAGTTTATGGGTCTTTCTTGACTTCTGGTACCAAACGAATTATGTACAGTATCTCTATTCAAATAAATTTTGTTACAATTCGCAATTTGATAATTCATGATATCTTCTAGTATCTAAAGCATGAATTATCGCAACTTCACTGTATTAATTATCTGGAAGTGGATGTGTCAGTAAATGAAAGTGAGAGACAAATTAAAGAAGAGAGTAGCAGAGGGAGAGAAAGTATTTGGTGCACTGAGAAATGTATTGGATAGAAAAAAGAATGTCAATGGCATTACTTATGCCATTAAATTTGAGTCAAATACATATAAAATAGTTTAATATAAATTAAAAAGTAATATAAATTTGACCGTACTGAGGACAATGGTGGTTGAGGATGACACTAGCCTTTATTGTAGCCTCACTTTTCTTAATCGTACAAATAAAGGATTCACCCACCCCCATGGCAGGTCCCATTGACACTATGCTCTCGCCACCCACTAATCTATCGACCAATTCAATTTCTTTTCTAGAATCATCACATTCCTTGCCCTTTTCACTAACACTCAATGCACACTTAGGGGGCCATAGGTAAAGGCAAAATCAATGTTATTATGGTATAAAATATGTAATAAATATCAAGTGTACGGAGCAGTAAAATACATCTGCATGGTACGAGATCACAACACTGAGAGAGCGTGGCTTGAACAGTGGCAGGAGGCTGGATGCTGCTTGGATGAATACATTGGAACATGGAGGGGAAATGATACCATGGCAATAGGACCTGGGCCATCAACTATTCCCTGGTCA